CACTGGCCATCCCTTTAGATGAGTGAACAATGAAGATGAAGTAGTGTTCCTCACAGGGCTTGTTAGGAGCCTTGAATGAGTGTGTATGTGCGTGTGTGCGTGTGTGCAGACGCATCTGCATACATGTGTGTGGGTATACATGTGTCTGTGTGCACCTGTTTGTATGCATCTGTTTGTACGTACACATTACTCTTACTGATCCGAGAGTCATTTCTGGAGCACGTTCAGGGCTTGGCAAGTGAGGACGGTTATGAGTACTCGCGGACGTCTGTCATGGCGGGATGAGCAAAGCAACCGCAGGAGCTGCTGTCTTGGAGTTTATCCATCCATGGAGAGCAGCAGTCAGTAAATCACCAATGAATAATGGTAAACAAGGTCAAGAACTGCAGAGCCAGTGAACGGGCTGAACAAGCCCCAAGTCCAAAAGCTGAATGTTCTCCCTGATGTGTGGAGGCTCACACGCTGGAAGGGGTGGGGGGACACAGGTTCCCTGGATGAGACTGAGGGGAAGGAAGGGAAGGGAGGGGGATGGGAATGAGAAAGAAGGGGATGGGAGTGAATGGGACACAACTTTCCCAGGTTCCTATGTGAACACACGACCAGGGAAACTCCACATCATATCCAACCTCAAGAATGGGGAGTTAGACTCCATGTATGTGTGATAGGTCAAGATACACTCCACTGCCATGTATCTCTAAAGAGATGAATGGAAAAGTAAAAGAATTAGCTGAATCAGCAGATAATAGCTAAGGGAGGACTGTCTACAAAGCTTCTTAGAGGAGGTGATGTTTAAAAGCAAAGAGAAAGATCGTTTCAGCAAAAGGGTGGGGTGGGGGCAAGATGGCTTCCCCAGGCAGAGGGGAGCCTGCTGAGAAAGAGGATGGTGAGACCAGAGTACAGAGGGCAAGGCAGGGGCTCCCCTCAGGTGACCAGGACAGGCAGAGAGCAGTCCACCCAGACTGGAGCCCATAAGGAGCATGGAGCAGGGGAGACATCTCTAAATGCCCAGTGCCCCTCCAGGGCTGTGTGGGCCCCGTGTTGTGGGGTGAGTTCACCAGAAGCCCAGGCTGGCTGAGCAGGTGGATTCAGACTCGGGGGCCATGGGACCAGGCAGAAATGAGCCGTTTCTAGGCGTATTTGAGAATTGAACCTTTGAGATGAGCTGAAGGACTTCCTGTGGTTGAAGGTAGGCTTGATTACCTGGGCAGATGGTAGATTCATTCACTGAGATAAAAAAAGATCAAGAAGCTGGGTGCAGTGGGGCACGTCTGTAACCCCAGTGGCTCAGGAGGCTGAGGCAGGAGGATCTCAAGTTCCAAGCCAGCCTCATCAATTTAGCAAGGCCCTAAGCAACTCAGTGAGACCCTGTCTCTAAATACAGTACAAAATAGGCCTGGGGACGTGGCTCAGTGGTTAAGCACCCCTGGGTTCTATCCTGGTTCTTAAAAAAACCAAACTACTTGGTGGCAGGTGGTCTATTAGATATGGAAGTCTGGGGTCCAGATGAAAGGCTGGACTGGAGAGAGCCCGATAGGCATGATTAGTGCATAGATGACCTTTCAGAGAGAGGACAGGAGACCACCTTCTGAGAGTTGTTCTGAACATTCCAAAAAGCGCAAAGGAAACCTACCGAAGGGAAGAAAGCATTTGCAAACCCTATATCTGATAAGGGTCTGTTTAGTATTCAAAATGCATAAAGAACCCTGAAGACTCAGAGACAACTTATTTAAAAAACGAGCCAAGCACTTGAACAGATTCCTCTTTAAAGAAGATACACTGTTCGGTGTCACAGGCCATTAAAGACATGTAAATAAAAGCCACAGTGAGATACCACTTCACATCTACCGGGATGACGATAAAAAGATAATAAACGTCGGCCAGGATGTGAAGAAATAGGAGCCCTTGTCTATTTCTGGTACAAATGTCAATTGGTTCCGCTGCTGTGGAGAAGAGTTTAGGGGCTCTTTAAGAAATAAAACACAGAATTACCATACGACCCAGCCATGCTCCATCTAGGGACATGGCCAGGAGAAGCGAAAGCATTCTTTGTCTATGCAGAAACCTGGGCATGAATGTTCATAACAGCAGGACTTTTTTATGAACATTACAATACCAAAAGGTAAAAAATGTAAAAGCTGATGTTCATCAGCCGATGAATGGATAGACACATACATTTGGTACCTACATGCAATGAAATATGATTCACCCATTAAAAAAGAATGCTATGGACTAAAATCTAATGAATGTTTTCTCTGATATGCAGGTGCTGATTCACAATAAAGGGTGGGGGTTGCTAGGGAAGAATAGAGGTACTTTGGATTAGCCCAGGAGGTAGGAAGGATAGTTGAATGAATTGGACATTATTGCCCTATGTGTATAGGTGATTACAGGACCCCTGTGATCCTACCTCATTTACAACCAGAAGAATGAGAAGTTTTACTCCACCACTGGACGGTGTGTCCAAATGCATTCTACTGTCGTGTATAACTAACTAGAACAAAGAAAAAATATCATGAAACTGATAACATTATGCTAATGGCAGAAAAAAAGATCCAGACACGAAAGTCCACCTATTGTGTCTGATTCCTTTTACATGAAAATATCCAGAATGGATAAATCCACAGAGACAGACAGCAGCTGAGTGATGGTCAACAGATGCGGGGTCTGGTAAGTGATTACTTGGTGACATGGAATGTTCTGGAAAAACCAGAGAGTTTGGAAACTCCAGAGGTGATGCTGATGCCATGGAGATCTACAGTTTAGTAGGTTGAATGGTAATTGTAGGAACTGGGTACTTTCCCTCTTGCCTTCACTGATTCCGGGAGGAATGGGTCCACAAAAGCAATGTGCTCATCCTTGTGCTGTTAGGCTCATCATGTCGTGAAACGTAACATTTGATTGGAAACCACAGCCCAGGGAGGTAGATGGGAACAAAGCTGCTTTGGGGGTGAGGCAAAGATGCCAGATGAGAATTCAAACCTAAAGGAAGAAATAACCTCCATCATAAGGGGGAGGGTGAGAGGGGGCAGCACGCTGAACTGCGTACATAGGAACTTTCTCTCTTTGGTTCTGTGAAAGGCACATGATTCTCTAAAGTCATAATTATCACGACGCATTATTGGGTTTGCAGTGCATATAAATCGAATTATGTAGAACAATAAGATGATAAAACATGGAGAGAATAGAGCTATTGTAATAGGAGTCAAGTTTTTATGTTCCGACGGAATTAAATGAGTATGGATGTGAAATTAGATCTTGATCAGTGAAAGGGTATTCTGTAAACCCAGCAGCAACCCCTAGCAAAATAAATTTTAAAACCATAATGAAAAATTATTCTTTAAAAATTCGAACCCAGTAGGAAATGTCCTCTAACGATAATGAAAGGAGGGGAAAATTCTTGAAAAAGATCTATGGGAGGCATAGATGCCAAAAACAATGCGGGAGAGGTCAAGCCAACCATATCAAGAATATGGTTCAATGAATAATTACATGATCCAATTAAAGGCAGAGATGATCAGATTGGATTAAAAAAAAAAAGGAAGCCAGGTCCAACTAGGTGTTGTCTACAGGAAATACACCTATAAGGCAGAGATACCTGTCGGTTGGAAGTTAAAGGATGGGAAAAAGATAAACCAGGCAATCATCAACCATGAGCAAGCTGGAGTGACCACGTTTATATCCGACAAGATCCACTTTGAAACAACAGCTCGAAAAAGCTGAGACCACCCAGGGAGAAGCAGAGCTGGAGGAGAGCAGGAGGTTTTGGGTGGAACTCTGGGAATTCTCAAATTTAGAGGTGGGATAGAGAGGAAGGATATAGAAGCCACCACATTTTTCCAGGCAAGGGTGTAAACCCACGCTAGAATCCTCCAGCGCCACCCCGGACAAGGCTGGCTGTGGAACCCCTCTGCTGGCCCATCTCCCACCCTGTTTTGACAACTGAGGAAATGAAAGACATGAACAGCGACTTCCCGAAGTCAGAGATATAATCACAGAGCTAAAACTAAATCCCACTGTTTGTTCTCCCTTGTCTGCCTGCCTGCCTGTCTGTCTCTCTGTCTGTCTGTCTCCCTCTCATGTACGTTCGACAACATAGATGCATTTTCTTTTGGGGGGTACCAGGGAATGAACTCAGGAGCACTTGACCACTGAGCCACATCCCCGGCCCTGTTTTGCATTTTTATTTAGAGATAGCATCTTACTGAGTTGCTGAGGGCCTTGCTTTTGCTGAGGCTGGCTTTGAACTCGCCATCCTTCTGCCTCAGCTTCCCCAGCCAGGGTCAGATGCATTTTCCTCTTTCTCCCATACTACGTCTTCATTGCAGGTTTTTGGGAACCTTCAAGATTAGACTTGCAGGGATGCAGACAGCTGGGGATACTGGTGGAACACTCGCAAGGTTTCAAATCAGCGGGATGAATCTGAGTTGACCATGTGTTCGCTTTGCCACTGTGGGTGACAGGGGGTTGACTTCTGAGGAGTATCAAATCCCTTAGAGAGGAGCCTACATTTCAGGAGCCACAGTCATGCTCTCCAGTCCCTTGAGGGCTTTGTGAAACCTTGTGAAACATCCAAGAGTTAATGGTTCTGCAGGGAGAGCTTAACCCCTACAGGAAGAAGAATCTCAAAAAAATCCAGAGAAAATAGCTGCAAGACTCCAAATGTTTCCCGCTGCTGTTTTAACCCATTGTGTAGGATTCATGAACATCTACCATAGAACAGGGGCAGGTCACAGTTTTACCAGTGATTCCTTGCTACCCAGAAAATTCAAGCGCATGATAGCATTGCAGCACACCCTACCTGCCCTGGTGTGTTTCCTATTTGAGTAAACCGTCTAGAGTCAGGTTGTGCTCTCTACTTCGGAAGTCCACGAGGGCTCCAAAAAGATAAGTCTGGCTTCTCTCCTTAACAGCCGCCATGTTTCCAAGTGGGTGTTTGCTATGATCAAATTCTGGGACTACTGCTATTCCAGATTCTGTGGCACTAGAATCAGGTTGTGGGATTTTTTAGGCCTATATTGCACAGTCTTTTTTTTTTTTTTTTAGAATAATAAATCAATATTACCATAAACACAAATGGAGCCCCCTCTCTTCAAAACTAAGCAATGAGGTAGAAAAAGATTAACCCGGGAAACCACAGAAGGTCAACTGGGGGTTTTACCAGAGAGTCCCCATGCAATTTGCCAATGAAGAGTGACTCCAAATTTGAGGCAGTGTTCCTTGTAAAGGATTTGTAGTGGTCGGGTCCTCTTGCAAGATAGATAGCCATATGGGAGAGGAACTAAATATTTTGTGGCTGCTAAGGGACATCATGTTATACCACTGGGCTCCAGAGTTAGTCCAAAGGTTGCATTTCCTTTTCTAATTCTAGTCAATTGGATGCAGAAGGATTTTGTGTCCAATGGAAGGCAGATTTGCATGTTCTAAGTACCTTTTTTTTTATTATTATTGGCAGTCGAAGAAAGAAAAGTACAGATGAAGTCTCTGCTTTCATGCTGAAGAGATAGAACATGAAGATATGGACAAGTCCAGAATAGTTGGGTGCTCAATAGAGTGATCTTGACTCATGGTTTGACAGTACTCTCTTTCGGTCTTTATAATGAACTAAATTGGAGTTCTGAATGCACTTTCTTAGAAGAAGTCGTCTCCTCATAGGAGAGAGTAAAGCACATTGTTATCACTTGGAAGAAATTAGGAAGGAGGAGGAGGAAGAGAAAGAAAAGCTAATCTTAACAAATTGTATTGCTATTCATAACATTGCTATTTTATCTGGGGTTTTTTTTTGATAGTGCTAATCAGATCTTGAATTAAACATGAAAAGTACTATTGAGAAAAAGAAAATAAATTGACATTTAGATGTAATTTTTTTTTTCTTACTGAAAATATCTACTCTAGCTCTACAGGGTGTTTTTTTTTTCCTAGTAAGTTGACATTTGTAGTTTATTCATATTATATTAAAATAGAATATCCATTCTTCTTTCTGAGTGATACAATTCAGCTTAGCACAATACATTTCTTTGAGGTTATAAATAAAGGGAAAAGGGAGTTGAATTTTATGGAAATCAATCTGAGAACACAATTTATTTTGATTAGAGCCTAATCTTTCTTGGAGTTTCCCTTATTACATTGTAAGTCTTTTTATCCCTTAAATCTCTATTCATTAATACATTAAGCCAAAAATCATTAATAAGCATCCTGCCTCATTACAAATTGCCAGGGCTAGATTTCCATGCAGACAATCCTTGGAGAGAACAATGGCAGTTTCTTTAACTGCTGGTGTTAACTGGCCAGCATCAGGTCGTTTCTAAGTCCCCAGATCAGGGCAAGCACCGAGTGTGCCCATTCAACAAAAATACTGCGTATTGTTCTGAAGAATGATCCTTAAGGGCACAAGTAAGTCATCTTCCCCAACGCTTTTCCCCAACATTAACTAGTGATTCTTTCCAATAACCTGATGACAGAGGCCACTAGGAACATGCCCACTTCCAAAGAAGGAAACAGAAGTCAAGAGAGGGGTAGGGAGAGCGGAATCTGCAAAAATGGGCTGGCTCGGAGGTCACACATTGCCCGTGTCACATTCTGATGGGAATAAGTGCCTTCCAGTGATTTTTTTCTTTCTCGATGGTCAATTATATCTCAGTGTGGCTGATGAGATCGATGATGCTCCTTAAATGGCCGAGGACTCTGAGGTAGGCTGACAGGAACAACACTCCTTTCTCTTGATTTCAGTCAAGCTGGGCAGCCTCAGGCCTCCTATAAGGTGACAAAATTCTTAGAGTGATATTGTCAAATGTTCCACTTGTCCTTCCTGGGGTGGGGGGCAACGTATTCTTAGAATCTCAGAATGACAGACTCTTCTTGTCTAAAAGGAGCATAATCCATATCTTATCTTGGATGGCAGACCCCTCTGAGAAACTGACACAAGCTGGATTGTGGCATCTCTTCCCAAAAATATACACTAAAATCCTCCTGCACTGAAAACCCATGCATAGAACTTACCCTTGCCTTTTCTGATGAGGGAATGCAGACCCAAGAAGGTGCAAAGATGTGCCCTAGTTCATCTAACTCCCAAAGTGGTCTCCTTGAAGTTGTTCATTGTTTGGGAGTGCTGAGGGAACCTTAGATCTTAAGGAAGTAGTACTCTGGTTTTGTGCAGTTTCACTTTGTTCACCCATTTAACAATAGATTACGTCCTCTGTGGCAGGCACGGTGGGGGTGGTTCATTCTTACCTTCCGTAGCACTAGCCTTACAAACCAAAGGAAAATCAAAATGGCGGCATTTCCTGTTGATCTTACCTGTTGATAAAGTCCCAGGGAATAATCTTGTTTTGCTGCTGCTTTTTCTCAGATGAAGATAACAGAATTCTCAAACAGTTCTAACTCTATTCAAAATGTTTGATGACCTTCTGGGATTTTTATAGCCAAATCTAATTTATTACGTGGTATTATGTTTTGGATGTGTGTTGTCCCCCAAAGTCTCATATGTGAGACATGCAAGAAGGTTCAGAGGAGACATGACTGGGTTGTGGGAGCTTTAACCCAATCAGTGAATGGACCCCTGATGGGAGTAACTGGGTGGTGGCTGGAGGCAGGTGGGTGTGGCTGGAGGAGGGGGCATTGGGGGCGTGGCTTTGGGGTCTCTATTTGTCTCTGGAGAGTGGAGTCTCTCTGCTTCCTGATCACCATGTGAGCTGCTTCCCTCCACCACACTCTTCCTCCATGATGTCCTGCCTCCCCTCGAGCCCCGAGGAATGGAGCCTGCTGTCTGTGGACTGAGACCTCTGAAACTGTGAGTCCTACATAAGTTCATCTCCCTAAAATTGTTCGGGTGAGATCTTTTAATCACAGTATCAAAAAATATGACTAAAATACCTGGTATCAAAGGCCCATTCATACATGTGAAACTTTTGTCCAGTCTCATTTTTCCAGAGTTTTTGTTCTCAAAACCACTTTGCTCAAGACAAACCATTGTACTGACGCTGTTCTAACTAAATCATTAAAATATGAATCAGTACTGTTGTTTATTCAAGTGACTCCCGTCCAGAAACCTCTATATTTCTATCTATCCTTTAATGCCTGGATCACATCATCCTTTCTCCCTGAAACCTATCCTGATTTTTTTTTTCCTTAAATTTCTCATTCCCTTTCCTCCTCTTAATTCTTATAGCTCATTGAGTGGTGTCCATGTGGGGGCTAATGATGGATGGGTCTGCTTTGTCTCCTCATGTGGACGTGATTTAGCACCACTAAGCACGTCTCGGTTCACGGTATGCCCCGTCCCCCTCCGTGGATTAGTTCAAATGAGCACTAGTAAAAAATGACCTTCCTTCAAAGGAGTCCCAAATTATCTCTATTTTTAGTAATTGACCATTAACAGAAAGTCCAGTTTATCCACATGTTGAAAGTCTGCTTTGAACGTAGATCCCTGGGCCAAGAATACGACTCTTGTTTCTATTTTCTTCCAACCGTCCAGAAAACACTGGAAGGTTGCCTTATGGGGTGATGGAATGAAAACCCAGACCAAACCAACCAGACTCGGGCTCCGTGCATCAATGTACATTCCATCAGCCCCACCCAGAGAGCATCTTCCATTTCACTGCTTGGCCCCTCCAAATGTCTCCTGGTTATAATTAAGTACTTCAAAGTCTTCCCCACACTCTGGGAAGTAGTACTCTGGTTTTGTGCACACTCACATGCGAAATGATGTCCAATCAGATGTAAATCATCACACACCGCAGGGAGGGGGAGAGGCAGAGATGGGGCGGTCATCAGCACTGGGTCTAATCAGAGAGTCTAGTGCCCTGATGAGGGTTTTCGTCTTCTCATCTGTCCCTCCAGCCACTGAATTCTCGGGTGGCCCATCCGCTCCCTCTTGGTGATCAGCTGGTTATTTTTACCCCCAGGCCTCTCTCTGGGTCTGTCGGACTATTTGGAGCCATCCATCACCCATTTGGGTCTCACCCTGGTGTGGCGGGAAGTGAGTGGGGGAAGCGATGATCCTGGAAAAGATGAAGTGGAGGGCTATGCCGGCGTGCGTATTGGGTTTTTTAAACAATGATTTCCCCCGATGAGGTAAGTCCAATCATGACACCGTGGGGTAACGGGGAGACAATGAGAGCTGCAGGGCTCAGCGTGGTTATGCAATGGAAATGATCTCCTCCGGCTGTGCCGTCTGTGACTCTGCCATGACTTGTTCTTAGATGGTCTTTACAGCCCCCAGAGGGACATCGTCTTACAATCCTTCCTTCAGTGTGCAGGAAGCTGCCTCCCTGAAATTACAAACGCAGAGAGGAGAGTTTTCAAGGATGCTTTCCTGGCGCTTCTAAGCGACACCGTCCCACCCACAGGGGGGAAGGTGGCCTGGGCAGTTAGCATGTTCCTCTTTCCCAGGTGCCCTTCTCGATGATGACAGCATCTCACTCCAGAGTGCCCGAGGTCCCCCCCACTCTTTCCCTCCGGCCGACGCTGTCTGACTCCAGTGAGATCATTTCCAAACGTGTTTTGGGGGGATTCCGTGTTTCCGAGTTCACCTTCAAGGCCACGGCCAGGCTGACCCTGCCACGCATAGCCAGGGAGTCTCCGGGGTCAGGGCCTTTTCTGATTGGCGGGTGTCTCTGTGGGTCTCTTCTCAGATTTCCCTGTGCCCTTCTCAAGAACCTGATGGCCTCAGGGATGACCCTGCTCGCCGGGACCCAGTGGTCAAGGTTCAGCCTTAAGAAGGAGGTCAGGATGACACGCACTGGCATGTTCTTGGCACAAGCTCCGCCTGCAGCAGACTGTATTGGTTGGAGGAAGTCGAGGGTGGAAGAGCCGTCTCCTCAGAGGCTCCCTGAATCCAGGCGGCAACATGACCTGAGTCTTGAAATGTTTATCCTCTCCCGTGTTTCACGTCCTGAACCCTTCCCGGGGCCCTCTCTGCGCCACATGTGGAACTTCACTCTTAGGCGTGTCTGTCCATGTGGAGATGGGAAGAGACAGAGGAGGCACGCGCGCACACCCAGATCCTCTGTTCCTCCTTTTCATCTGCTGATTCCCTGCACGCTCGGCTGTTCTCCTGAGGGGTGATATCACCAACAGCTGTCTCGGGCTGGAAATGAAATGCTTGTAGAACCTCGGTCTTTTGTCTTACCTACTTAAAGGCTGACTCTTTTCCAGAATGCC